CCTTTTATGCGGAGTTGCGCCAGGATAGATATGTTCCTATGCTTTGCTGTCCAGGGAATTCTCAGCATCCTTCGCCAGCACCACATCTCGAGAGCATCAATCTTTTTCCGCTTCTTTGCTCTTATTGTCCATGACTGGACTCCATACTAAAATACTTATCCATACAAAAGAAACTCTATCTATTGTGAAAACTAACATTCAAAATAATAAGTCATAACAAATATATCTGTAGTTTATTTTTAGCAATATACGATTTAGTAAACATTATTCTAGAAAACGCAAATACGATACGATATTTCCTAACATAAAATGATAAAAGTCGAAATGTCTGAATATTCAATTGTTTTTGTAAAATGTAACTAACGAGACTAGGAATAAGGATGGTATTTTGGATTCCAATTATCAGAATTGATATTTACCTATTTGTTACATTTTCGTTCGCCGTGTGGGCTTTTAGAGATGTTTTAAGAGGGACGCTGCTGCCCATCCCTCGCCCTCCTTTGGTCACCTCTTACGGCACTTACGGGAAAGGAAGGGGTGACCCATTTTTTACCAGGAACACACGGTATTAAGGTAAGGAGAAATACAAAAAAGTCGAATAAAGTAGTGAAATTATAAAAAGGAGACATTATAATTCATCATTGTCATAATTTTTTTTTATACAACTTAGAATGGCAAACAAGCTGACGGCCCACCTGACGGAAAGTGGTAACCGTCGCCTTTAGACATGAGCAGTACCATGGACATAACAGTGTACTGTTTCGTCCATGATACCTCCCATGCGTTGCCATTCCTCAGGACTCAGGTGTTATTCCTCTGTACCCGGTAAATTCACGCCATATCCAACCCTTCAAACCGAAACACAGCCATGCAAACACAACTGCTTCACGGTAAAAACACGAATGGGACAGAGGTGCCCAAGCAATCGACTTTTGTACAAAGTCTCCCTTTTAGCTACTCAAAGGTTGACTGTAAGAGATCCCTTTATGGGATAAGTCCGCCATTGTACATTAAATCTTTTAATATGTACAATAAAGATTTTACAGTACAATAATTTATATTTTTTTGTACATGCACAGTGGCACGAGTTCTTTAAAATTCTAAACCTATCGCCCGTAAGACGACATAAACAAGCACCGCGACATTTAGTGTGCGTTGACTCACGAACAATTCGATCTTGACCAATTATCTAAGTGCGAGTGTAATTAATACGTATTTATTTCGTACTAAGAAAATTTTCCAGATGTCAACATTTTATACAGTTAACTAATATGGCTGTTCGACTCAATATAACTGCGTGGCGTGCATCTAGAACGATTTGCGTCAACAATAACGGTTTCGTATAATGCACTCGTGAAACGACCGTCATGCCTTCCCGCACACACCTGACGAGACGTCCACTTGTTGTGCGGAGTTGGGCAAATTTTTGTTTGTTTTCGACTTTAAGAAAAATTTTCACTTAACTTTTAACAATTTTGGAAAAAAATATTATATGACTATAGGATAGACTTTAGATAGTCGATTTACATATGTATGTAAACCGACTTAAAAAAAAAAGAATTATTCAATTATGTATGTCTATTTTACCATTTCTAAATATATTATAATATTTGTTTTTAAAATCATAATAGTTTCCTCCCGTGTTAGTTATGCAACATACCATGGACATAACAGTGTATACTGTGTCGTCCATGATACTTATTAATGTATACTCATTAAAAAAATAGAATTTTTTCTTACACAAAATCAAATAATAATTAAAGGGAATAAGAATAACAACGCTTGAAGGGTTTCATGGGCGACACAGTATACTCTGTTATGTCCGTGGTACTGTTCACGTCTATAGGCAACGGTTCAACACATTGTTTGCCATTCGAATTAAATATATAATATATAAATACATAAAAAAAAAACTAGTTTTACCCGCGACTTTGCGCGTAGACCGGGATATTATTATATTTATTTACCAGGATAAAAATTATTGTGCTCTTCTCTAATTCAATTATCAAACCCCATGATAATTGGTCGAATAGTTAAAAATAAATGGGTAACAAACAAATTCAAAGTACTAATACCATTTTGATAAAATATCTATACTTATAATAAATCTGTAGAGAGGTCAATTCTGTACATGAAATATATTTCCAAAATAACTATCAGGGGGTGATTAGTGATCGATACTGATGCCAAAAATGCAATCAGTAAAATTTTTGTCTGTGTGTATGTTCGTTATAGAAACAAACTCTACTCGACGGATTTTAACGAAACTTGATACAATTATTCTTCATACTCCTGGGCAGGTTATAGTATACTTTTCATCACGCTACGATCAATAGTAGCAGAGCAGTGAAGGGAAATGTTAAAAATGTCCACCCGTGGGACGCCGCCAGTCTATAATAAAATCCCTTCGAATGAAAAAGAATTTTCCAAAATCTGTTTCACAACTGACAAAATTATGAAGTTACAAACATAAAAAAAAATACAGCCGATTTGAGAGTCACCTTCTTTTTAAAGTCATTTGATAATCATCTCACGATGAGCAAAGACGGTAAATATTAATTAAATATAATTTTTTAATGGCGTAGGATGCGACTAAGAGAGCTCAATAGTCCAAGGATGGGCAGCAGATGGCCCCCTTAATATATCACCAAAAGTCTAACTGCCAAGACCTTTAAAAGCTGATATAATGTTATCACTAAATACACGTGTGATACAGGTGCAAACATTCTTAAGCGTTTCGAAATCTAAAAAAACAATGTCCCTTACATTGTTCTTCTTTATTTGTTTTTAATTGCCTTTACCTCTGTCCCATTCGTGTTTCAACCGTGAAACAGTTGTGTTTGCATTACTGTGTTTCGGTTTGAAGGGTGGGATATGGCGTGAATTTACTGGGTACAGAGGCATAACACCTGAGTCCTCAGTAATGGCAACGTATGGGGGGTATCATGGGCGCAACAGTATACTCTGTTATGTCCATGGCACTGCTCATGTCTATACGCGACGGTTACCACTTTCCATCAGGTGGGCCGTCAGCTTGTTTGTTATTCTAAGTTGTATAAAAAAACCTACAAAATTAAACTCCAAGCATAACAACATTCCACTCAGTCTTTGACCTCTCGATGACATTGAACCCCTCTGGTGACATAAAATATACAGACTGTATTAGAATATTATTGAAAACGTAAATAAATATGAGTCATTATTTTTAATTTAAGTAAGTTTTTTTATACAACTTAGAATGGCAAACAAGCTGACGACCCACCTGATGGAGAGTGGTAACCGTCGCCTATAGACATAAGCAGTAGAAACACGAATGGCAAGTTGTACTAGCATCTATCAGAACAATATGTAACCATTATGTCGTCAATACTGCAAATTCGAGAGAGCAAAACATCTCAATTTTATTGTATAAGAATTTATTTCAAGAGTTTAACATTTCAAGAGAATTTATTACCAGATGGGAGACTTTGTACAAAAGTCGTTTGCTTGGACACCTCTGACCCATTCGTGTTTCTACCATGAAGCAGTTGTGTTTGCATGGATGTGTTTCGGTTTGAAGGGTGGGATAAGGAAGTGAATTTACACCCTTCATACCGAATATCCCACCCTTCAAACCGAAACACAGCTATGCAAACACAACTATTACACGGTAAAAACACGAATGGGATAGAGGTACCCAAGCAATCGACTTTTGTACAAAGTCTTCCTCTGGTAGCTCTCTCCATAGCCTGCTCCATCCATCCATACATACATCGTATTAATATTATTAATATAAGCATACGAAATTTAATTATTATCTGTCCAACCAACATGCTAATTTTCACCTTGGTGTCTGTTTTTTATTTCTTTATTATTGCAAAGAAAATAAAAGTACCTACATATAGTAATTATTATGTTTTAACCCATATAAAATTGTTAAATTAATAAAGATGCTAGCTAACTCCTATCATATCCCTAATATAAACATACAGAGAATAACGTGCATAATTATATATATATATATATATATAAAATGTGTATTTTTTATACACTGTGGATTTATATAAGTTACAGAGAATAACTTACATGGAATTTATTATTATCAATTCCAATAAATCTTCTAATCTCAACAGCTAACCGATGAACATGTGTTATGATTAAAATAAACTGTAATAATGCGTTAATTGAATCTAACATTCAAATATTATGTCTAAAATTATTATATTGATTGAAGTTTCATTAATTACTTCAATAAATACATACGAGTATAATCAATAAAATTTATTATAGATTCATTGGAATAGTTCCAAAAATGTTGACTGTTATTTTATTAAGACTACTATTGTATTACATATTTTTAATTAATTTTTAATCAGTTTAATTAGTATAGTAGTATAATATTTGTGGTTTAGTCGACAGACAACACAATTAATTTTTTTATTAAGACTACTATTGTATTACGTATTCTTAATTAGTTTTTAATCAGTTTAATTAGTATAGTAGTCTGTAGTTTAGTCGACAGACAACACAAACTATTATAAAGTCATGAATACTAATTATCTCCAATAAATTCAGTAAGTAATCGCAAACGCCTTAAAAAAAGATAAGTACATTTTAACAAAGACATGACTTGTTTGTTAACAAGTTCCGGTTTTTTATCACATTTACAAAAAAAATACCTATACCTACCTAAGTCAAAAAACCATTGAAAATCTATAACTTTATTTAGTCTTCTTCCTAATAATAAGAGCACCTTGCACTATTTCATAGATTTATAGCTATAAAATAGTGAAAGTAGTACTATAAAAAATTTATTCTAAATTCTACCTAGTGTCAACAATCACCTGCATCGAAATGTTTAGTTTTAAATCGTAATTTTATTGCTATTAGGTTCAAAATTAAATCAGTCCACAGTTATCATGGTCGCCCACACACGTCTCGCACATCTGTATTCATACTCACAAGTCGACCATTAGAAACGAACGATGGTCGCATACCAACATGCAAAACAAAACACTGACTTTAAATACAAAAATATTTATTTTAATACGTAGTTATAATTAAGACCTTAAATATTATATCACTTTAGACAGGTATTTCGTTTCCATGGGGGATGACGTTGTCCTTCTCCGTTACTTCCTCGCGTTCCGCTAGTGTTGTTGGTTCTTTCCTGTCATCTGACACCGGCTGGACTGTCGTTGTTGGTACATTTTTCTCTTCTTTCTGGTAAGGTGTTCCAGTCTCAACAATAGAAACATCGCGATCTGCACTGGCCTTCTTTTCACCAGTGGATTTTAAGGGAGCACTCACGATGAGGTAACCATCGCTGGATAGCTCAGCAGTCACATCAGACCCACTGCAATTGGCCGGCAGGCTGTAAGTATGGAAGAACTGGCTTGCGAACACATCGCGGTCGTCTTGTTTCGCCTCGTGAGAGCCTTGAACGAAGATGAAGTCTCCTTTCACTTTAACCTTCAGATCTTCCTTTTTGTAATCCTTCACGTTCACGATGACTTGGAATTTGTTGTCGTCAGTAACGATTCTTGGGCCGATATCGGCGAAACTGGGGAAGAGCCTCCAGAGCGGTGCGAAAAGGTTTCCGAAGAGGGGAAAACTGAACCATGGACTGTCGTCGAATTCTTCATCGGTAATGGTGGTGACGGGTCGTGGTACCGGTTTATCAGCTGGCAATGCAGCTACAGCTGCCAAAACAGCAAAAGCTACTAGAACTCGCGTCGAGAACATTTTTTACGTGCACACCGTTTGATTACAGTATATGAACTGAGTGCCGCGCCGGTGCCGAAGGCTATATAGATGAGGTGGGGACGCGGGGTGCGTAAGCGCATCGCGACGTTCGTGACGTTTATAGAGTTATAACGCAGAAGGGCAAATAGGTACTTGTAAACTTTTCTGTCTCACAGATGTTCAATTAAATATAATACTAAATTCTAGATTGAATGCTGTCAAAATACATTTGTAACTACATATCTAACAACTGTGCGTGACAAAAAAAATTATGTTTTCAAAATATGATATCAAGAGAATATTAAAAAATCTTAATATAATTGATATCCAAATATGTAATATACATCTACAGCGTATCTAAAACAGCCCTAATCTTCTTCGACCACATTATGCGTTTACCAAATCATTGTCTTCTTAAAGATAGTGTAACTAATGCTTCTATAAGGGCATACTACCTACAAATTATACGAGATGTACAAAATAAAAAGAGTTCTTTAATCCCAATTTATAAATAAATTAAAAGAAAACAAGTAACTAAAAGTGTACTATGGCAGGTAGAAAGTACATTAATATATAAGGAAAACTTGATATAATATTTAATTTGACACGTTTATTGTTTCCTTTATTCTGTAATATCTCTAAATGTTTCTTCGTTTAATTTGCCGTTAATATTTATTGTTACCTTACATTAAAATACTATATTGGAGTCAAATACATTATGAATCTTAACTAATGTAAAATAAGTTTATCTGTACTTGTATTTTGGATAGAAAAGGACATTTTTTTATCAAATCAGATAATATTATAAAATGTTAGGTAAAATATATCAATATTAAAAAATAATATAAATCTGCGGTTAAAATGAAAAGATTTTTAGTCGTTTGTTACCTTTTCGGTTGCCCTTGTGACTGCCGACCATATATCATCGAAAATGTTTAGGATTTAATTTTTATTCATTTATTTTTTTAATATAATAGAACAAAATGGAGATCTTTATTCAAATTGACATATTTACAAGTTCTTTTTAATCTTCGCTTTTTATAATTCTACTGTTGTAAGTTATTATCTACTAAGTAAAACCCGAAAAAAAAACTAACATTTTCTTTTTTCATCTTGCTCATGTATATGACAATTTTACATTTCTGTAATTACTGTGACTAGAATTAGCTTTTTCATTCTATTTATATATATTATGTGAAATAAACTAGTAAACATTAAAAGCTCAGTTCCCAGAAGCAATACCCTTTTACAAGTATGACTAATAAGCCAGCCATCATTACGCTCAACCATATTTTAGGGAACTCAACGATCCGGCCACACTGGTGTTGAGCAATCAAGAATTTATAGTAAGCACCTTCTGTTTTCTCAATAACGTAAACATCATAATCTTTGCCATCGATGTTTGACCTTGAAAGGCCGGCTTCTAGAGTTCTCGCTGAATTATCTCATTTTCTTCCTCGCTAGTTTTACTACGTGAATCAGGCTTATTATGTCTTCCGAGGGTACGTGGCTGAGTCAGCTGATGTTTGGAGTACGTGACAATTGTCTAACAGTATGAATAATAATTGTTGAAAGCGAGTGTTCTATCGCATAATTGTGTTAATCACGTTGTCACATTGTTTGAAAGAAATAGTTTTAGTCATGTAGGAATGTCCTTTAATGTTATTGTTCACTCATATATTTTTTTTTAACACCTTATGAAAATTGGTAACAGTTTCCTGAAAACCATACCATACAATATCATATCCGTCGTTATCAGTCCACTGCTTAAAATGAAAAAAAAAAGCTGCTTAAATTGAATAACAAAAATTATGTATTCAGCTAAATAAAAGCTACATCATTATCATTCCAGCCATTGTCTGTCCACTACCAGACAATGGCCTCGCCCATAGGCTGCCATAAGAAACGGTCCTGAGCCACTTGCATACACGACTCCTTGTAATGCATTTGAGAATTGAGAATCTCCTTTATGGAATCGATTTAAGACAATGAAACTGAAATCTTTCCGCTCTTTTTGAAGACGGCTAAAAAAAAGTTGAACATTGCTTTCAAAAAAACATTTCGGAGACAAAACAAAGATTTTAATAAAAGGAAACCCTTTGAGTGACTTTGTTATAATATATTTGAATGAATTTGTTTGGCCGGCCCGACCCTCTTTCCCTGAAATAAATAGAAGCATCATCTAAAATTAATTAAAAATTCCAAAATCTACAATTTCAGTATAATGAAATAAATAAATGCCTTTAATTCCAGGACTTGTTGTTGATTCGAAACATATATTTACAAAAAAAAATTAATTATTTATCATAAATAAATAAATTATTAATTATATAATATATTGTTATCTTGGTTTTTTTATACAACTTAGTATGGCAAACAAGCTGACGGCCCACCTGATGGAAAGTGGTAACCGTCGCCTATAGACATGAGCAGTACAATGGACACAACAGAGTTTTTTGCCCATGCGTTGGCATTCCTGTGGACTCAGGTGTTATTCCTCTGTACCCTATAAATTCACTGCCATATCCCACCTTTCAAACCGAAATATAGCCATGCGAACACAACTGCTGCACGGTTGAAACACGAACGGGACAGAGGTGCCCAAGCAAACAACTTTTGTACAAAGTCTCCCTCTGGTGGGTGGGTTTGGTGGAAAATAACTATTTTAGAGTTAAACTCGCCTTTGTGCATTTGTTTACCTCTGTCATATTTGTTATATATTACTAGTGTGTTACAATAAAGTATAAATAAATACAGTATTTTTATAAATATTGCAAAAAAGTATAAAATAAATAAATAATTTTCAAAGATTCTCAATTGGTCGCAGTTAATTTTTTATATATCATTAATAAAATTCTAAAAATGCATTTTTTTAATAAGCGAGAATGGCATGGTAACCCCGCTTGCGCTATCGGTATACACTGTCGAGGCACTAGTGAGAGATGACAGGTGAGGATAAAAGCGACGAATTTGACAATAATTAATCAAGATGGTTTCCAGGGGGAACCACGTGGAGGTCGACCTGACTCTAACAGTGCGTTAGACATTTGACACTTTACGGGACAGCGAATAAAACTGAATATAAGTCTATTTTTTTCTATTATTTTTTTACAATTCAATTCTATGTAAGAAAATTGTTTGAAATGAAGACTTCTGATTGGTTCAGACGATATGCACTACTCTGAACAATCGAATCAGATCAAAACATGAAGGTTACAAAAAAATATGTACTCATTGTTAGAACTTCACTGACAATGTTCTGAATGGACTTTAGAACGTAGTATAACATACGTTTCACAATCGATTGGATGACTCTTATATAGCGTTGCACAATCTACTTTTATAAGACACATAATTTCGTACTCTGAAATTAAAATGCATGTTTATTTTAATAATAGTAAGAATTATTATAAATATTAATAAGAATTGTTTTACCAGAGGGAGACTTTGTACAAAAGTCGATTACTTAGACACCTCTGTCCCATTCGTGTTTCTACCGTGAAACAGTTGTGTTTGCATGGCTGTGTTTCGGTTTGAAGTGTGGGATATAGCGTGTATTTACTGGGTACAGAGGAATAACACCTGAGTCCTCAGGAATGGCAACGCATGGACGGGTGTCATGGGCGAAACAGTATACTCTATTATGTCCATGGTACTGCTCATGTCTATAGGCGACGGTTATCACTTTCCATCAGGTGGGCCGTCAGCTTGTTTGTCATTCTAAGTTGTATAAAAAAAAAAAAGTAGGAAATATTTAGGTGATTAGAGAAGTATTTTTGTTGAGTAAAATCACCATTCCGCCTGTTGGTCAGTTGGACTTTGGTGATGTTATAAGAAAGACACTGTGCCCATTTCTACCTTTAAGTTCTCTTAATTGCCTTTTACAACACTCACGAGAAAGGAAGGGGTTGCTTATTCTATGCTAGGAGCACACGTCCATTTGTATGTTTATTATTCAATAATCAATTCCAAAACGAGACGAAATATATCAGTTAAAACAAATTTAGCCATTAAATTTGAGATTTTATGAATAGGATGACGTACCGCACGGTATTTTTAGATCTGTTTAAAATATTAGAATACATTAGACACAATATAGTGCGGGGACAAGAATACCAAATGAGGAAATACATTTGCCAATGAGCGGTCTCGCTACTATATATTATAGCTGCCTCAAAGTAATTAATGTGCCCGATGTGAAAGATTAATCGCCACTTGTTTAGTTAATTGCATTCCAACATTTCATCTGCTGTATGCCTCGTTCACCTAATTGGCTAATTCCTTTCGTGTTCCTAGTACAATATATATATTTTTTAAATTTTATTATCATAGATAGATACTCTTTATTGTTTTCTCTAAAAGATTACAATTTTTTTTTTATATACAACTTAGAATGGTAAAGAAGCTGACGGTCTACCTGATGGAAAGTGGTAACCGTCGCCTATAGACGTGAGCAGTACTATGGACATAACAGAGTATACTGTTTCGCCCATGATACCCCCCATGCGTTGCCATTCCTGAGGACTCAGATGTTATTCCTCTGTACTCTATAAATTCACGCCATATTCCACCCTTCAAACCGAAACACAGCCATGCACACACAACTGCTTTACTATAACAAACTTATCATAAATATAAACAATTATATAAAATATTCACAATATGAAAACAATTGGCGACCTTATCGCTAAAAGCGATCTCATCCAGGCAACCTTTGGATGGAGAGGAGTAATTATAAACAAATTATATCGAAGGCGCGATGAAAAATTCTGTTAATTTTAAATATGGGGATGAGATACATATAATAATGTAAATATATCATATTTATTAAACACAGAAAGATACATTATTATAAAATATTTTTTAAATTTTTGTTTGTCTTTATCACAACGAGTAGTCAATTTCATTTCAGCCATTACCTGTCCACTGCTGAACATAAGCCTTCCTTATAAGGGGTGTTTTGTCAGTAGTTGCCACGTTTGGCAGGCGGGTTGGCAAACGCAGTTCGGCTTTTAGAGATGTTTAAAGAGAGACGCTGCTGCCTATCC